CTCTCTCTCTCTCTCTCTCTCTCTCTCTCTCTCTCTCGGAACACCATCAGCATGTGAAGAAGACTCCATTGAATACTATTCCATGTGGACCATCCCATTCCCCACATGAATTCATCTACGTCCATCATGTCATGTGACATTTGAGGACGCTACTAAATTAATTACACTCGGATAGATACATATCATCATGGTGAGCCAAATTGTCTCTAGCAACGTACTATGACCACACAATTATATATAAATATGGATAATACCCAATATCTATTAATGTTTGCAGAAGAAGCCAATGGTCCTCATATCATGTGTTATCACGAGCTACCCACCAAGCCTCAATCTATATCACGTCGCCATGCCGAAGGATCTCAATCTAATGTAAATATATCTTAATATATTATTACGAACAATAATTCTAAAGGCTTGATATTATAACCAGAGAGATGCCTTCCATGCACAGTTGTTAATGACGCATGGATGGATCCAAACGAGAGGAGAAGTCCTTAAGTATGCTGGTGCTCCTACTTCCATCGCCCGTGACACGCACCGGTCAACTAACGCCCAAGGAGTGGTTGGGGGGAGGAGCCCTCAGCTCGAGCTTCTGCGTATCTAATTCAAAGGAGAAGAGAGAGAGAGAGAGAGAGAGAAAGCGGACGTGAGAACAACCCGAGGGGAGAGCAATGGACAAATCAGGTAAAAGAGGCCATTGAAGCCGCCCACACCCACCACTCCCCACCCCGGTCATTTTACCCATGTGCGGCCATGTGGTGGTTAGCCCTCCCTGGCCCCACCACCCCACTTTGCCCTTAATCGGATGGGTTTCTTTTCTTTTTCCTCAAAGAAAATTTTAAAAAATAAAATCTTTTTTTTCTTTCACAAACCTCAACTTATTTTTATATATTTTTATTTCATAAATTATTATTGATGAAAATAGAATCGATAATTTTTTTCTAATGTATCAATTAATTTAACTGGTATAAATCTCGACGACTTATCGTATCGTATGGTTCTAAATTTGAATTCTATTTTTGTCATGTAAAAAAAAAAAATTTACACAGACTAAGTTAATCAATATCTTAAAAAATAGTAATAAATATCATCTTCGTCATCAAATTGATAATAATAATAAATAGGTTACCAATGAATTATGAATTACCTAGATGCTATCGTTATCCATGTGGGTTCAATGGGTGATGTGGATAGACCTTGTACTTGAAGCTACATGCCCATACTATGAAGTTGAATATAAAAGATGACAACTTTGCCTTTTGTTACGATGTCTAATGCCAATTCAATTACATGCCTTTCTATTATCAACATGCTAACCACTTGATTCTTAAAATATTTCTCCATGAAACCAACCACATCTTTGTTCCTTCTGCCCTCAATTCTGCATCAAACAATTTACAACCTAGATCGGTGTCCCGAGCACGCATCTTAAAGCATGCCAATTTGGACACCGGTTGATACAGCGAAGCAACCGGTGGGCTTCTGATGATGATGATGACGTTCTATTGAGAGGGCCCCACGTCAATTAGTCTTCGCGGCTATCACGCTCTGTCGCTGTGGCTCACACGCAACTACGACCGCTTCCTCTTCTTTGTCGAGCCTTCCTTCATAAGCAAAGCCTCCCATCTCCATTCCCTTAATCCTCCCTCTTCTCTCCCTAATCTTCTTTCACTCTGCTCGACTCTCTCTCTCTCTCTCTCTCTCTCTCTTACATATGTACTCTATCTTGGCCGTCTCTCTCTGTCAAACGTCTTTCATGGGATGGATAGAGCAGTCCCGGAGCTCTCGTTTCCTCTGAGATCAATCACAACAACGGAAACCCGTACCACCTCCTGGCTGT